AAAAAAAAAAGTTCCCTCTCCTTTGCTCTCCATACTAGCCTACAGTTCTGCTATAGCTTGGATGTCCCAGATTGCAATTTTTGCTGTTCCCAAATAAACTCATTCTAGCTGGTAAAATAAATGACAGTTTTATTTTTAAGGTCAACATTCCATAATGCCCAGCTTCCTCCTGTTTAAGGTAGAGGTGTCTACATTTCCAAATTAGAAAAACTCAGATTAGGAAGACTAAACTAATAATTTACAATCACTAAGTAAGCCTACTAAGTTCAAGATGCTCAGCTGGCACCAAGATAAAGGTAAAAGACACTTGTTCCTGCCCTCAAAGAACTAACAATTTAGTTTTAAAAGTCACAAAAGAGGGGCACCTGGGTGGCTCAGTCAGTTAAGCATCTGCCTTCGGTTCAGGTCATGATCCCAGGGTCCTGGGATTGAGCCCCACGTCGGGCTCCCTGCTCAGTGGGGAGCCTGCTTCTCCCTCTCCCTCTGTGTGCACTCTCGCTCGCACGCTCTCCCTCTCTCAAATAAATAAGTAAATAAATCTTTAAAAGAAAAAAAAAAAGGAAAGACCCCACAAGAGCCAGCCTGTGTTCATTAACAGGAAATCATGCTAATTCCTTTCTTTGCAGGATTTCAGAATGACTGCCTGGTACATAAGGCACCTCTGGACTCCCGTAAGACAGATGACATGACCACCCCCCCAACACCTGTGGCCAAGTTCATCTGCTACCTGGCGTTCATGAGTGGATCAGAGGACAGTTCCAGGACCTGTCCTTTCTGGCATTCAGAAAGAAAACTGCAAAAGTTTTCAAAGAACTTTCAACTGACAACAATGGGATGCTGAACTGTGACACCAACAAAATGAACTTAAACAGAGAAAAAAACAGCAGTTTGCGTGGGGATAAACCCCATGGACTGTGATGTCAGTTGACCGTGTGTCCAATGTAGCCCAACTGTATACGTTGCTCACCATACCCAAATTTCATACCTGCAAAGAGGAAAGGACCCTCATCTGCATTTTTAATGGCATCTCAGAAAATACTGCTAAAGGGGCACCTGGGTGGCTCAGTCGTTAAGCTGTCTGTCAAAATAAATAAATAAAATCTTTTTAGGGCACCTGGGTGGCTCAGTTGGTTACGCGACTGCCTTCGGCTCAGGTCATGATCCTGGAGTCCCAGGATCGAGTCCCACATCAGGCTCCCTGCTCAGCAGGGAGTCTGCTTCTCCCTCTGACCCTCCTCC